TACCACGATAAAACATCAAATTCCCATCGCTCTCTTCCATATCAAATGGATAATGGCACGAATGCTAAAAAATTGTTTCCATTTCTCCTTCAAGATTCCTCATAACTTAAAATCAAGATCCCATTACAAATATTGTCTGAATTTATTTAGCCTGTTTCCTTGCATCACCTTTGAAAAATAAGTAGCTACATTTAATTACAATGTACTTATTACGAAGGTGGGAGGAAAAAATCTTTATTAAAGAAGACTTTCCGTCACTCACAAATTTAAGAAATGAATCGACCATTTAAATGACAATGAGCATTAATTCTTTTCTCTTTGTTTGTTGCCAACATATCTTTTTTACTTCGTATTCTATCACGAAGAATAAAGACCAAAGTGCAGCCTCCAGGGCAACAGGCAAGCAGTGAGCTCTGTTTAAGTACCGATGATAATGTCAGGACTTCCTTGAAGAAAACTCCGCGTAAAGTAAAAATGCAAGCAGTAAGTTTTTCTTTCAGCAGTAAGCATTCATTTCGTGGGAATAAGCTCTCTGATGATTGCTAGTAAACATATTTCCCTTTATACAAACGACTTCTTGACTCTCTCATTTTTTGTGACGAATACACTTTTTCCCAATTCATCAAAATGTTTTTGAAAGCTGCCTTTTGTTTCTGAGTCTAATGTTTTGCCATTAACCTGTTTTCAAATGTATTGCAGACGCGTATGGCGTACCCTAGTAAATATTATCGCATAAATACCGTGCAGAAATTTAAAGTGACGATCTCACTATTGCACTTTACTCAAAGTAACTCATATACCAGGAAAAAACTTACAAAATTGTTGCCCCAATGTAAATTAAGTTTCGTATAGTTTAAACAAGAGGTTTATGCAAAGGCTTGAATTTCTTCTCCAATATTTTTCATGACAAAATTAGAAAACAACTTTGCCATCTTCAGTGCAGAGAGCAAGCAGCGAGCTCCGTTTGAATAGGGACAATGATGTTAGGACTTTCTTGAGGAAAAATACACGTAAAGTAAGTATGCAACCAATAAGTTTTAGTTTTGACAGTAAACATTCATGTCATCTTTCCCGGAATATGCTTTCTGACGATTGCTAATAAACATATTTGCCTTGTTTTATTAATAACCTGTTGCTTCTCATGTTTTGTTCAACGAATATATTTTTATATTTTTCAAAATTTTCTGGAAGCTGCCACCGAGTCTTCCAAAAGATTTTTAATCCGTTTTCATAGTTTGTGCAAGATGTGCAAGTTGATTTATTCGAATATGAATTTCCTTACAAGAATACAAATAATATTATTACTTTACAATTCGTACCTTGTAAACGAATCGGAACCTTCACGGATATTGTTGATTGCAGGACAAAAAATGTTGGCTCCAGACAAGTCGGTATTTTGTTTAAATTTGAGGTATCTATTTATAACTTCTCATAGGCTAGCACCTCTGATGACGTCCAAGGGATTCCACCTCCTCTTCTACCTAAGCCTCGAGCGTATCGCTCAGCTTCTATGTCTAAATCGGCAGGTAATATAACCAACAACAAAAGCTCTAGATATATATGCTTAAAAAATTAAAACGGTAGAATACCCTAAAGCTGGGGAAATGAAATGGGTCATTCATCCAACCTCTTTCTATTACCGACATTACTTTAGCAATTCTACATCCTCAAAATCAATCTCTAAACGAAAAGAATGATACTTCAAGTGATCACAAAGATCTGAGTAATAGTGATGACAGAAATCTTTCGTTGAGCAAAGTAAGTAAAGTTAAACAGAGCGTGGGAATGTCGAAGTATCAATTCAAGAAAAAGAAAATTTTGGATCGAAATGCAAAATTTCCTGAGTTGTAAACTAAAAGAATAAACTTTGTTTGGTTGATAGTTGAAACTGAAAGCGAAATTATCACATGAATAGAAGAACGGGAATTGAGAGTAGGGATCTCATTTTTGCACTGGATCTTAATAATTTCACTTCACTCTCAGTAACTTAAGTCAGGAAAGAATTATCAAATTATTGTGTCTTGTTTTCTTAAGTAAAATCAAGAGTAAAATTAAGTTTAGTCAAGTGTAGAAAAGTGCATAACATCGTTTCCCATATTGATTACGTCACTCAATGAACATGATGATTTCACTTATTAGCCACATAGAAGCAGTGAATTTTATGTTAACTAAACAATCAAACTTATTGTTTGCACACCCAAGGTAAAGTCTCTCTTTGTTGATGAGGATCTTGAGATCACACAATTTATAAAAGAAAAACTAACGAAAGAATTTGAGGCAATTGAAATTAAACTTAAAGACGAGCAAGTTAAAATTTCAATAAATCCAGGATTATTGAAATATTCTGGTACAAAGGAAGGAATTGAAAACGCAATGAAACGCACAAAGAAGTTGAGAAATGAAATAAGAGTGAAAGTGAGATCATACTCTTCCCCTGGAATTCTCAAATTATTTTTTAATGAGGATGGTCAAAGAAGCTTGAAATCAATCGAAGTCCAAACGAACGTCATCATGAGGGTGACAGATAGCAACAAAGAAACTATTCAAAAATTCGATATGGAGGGCATTCGCTCTGAGCGAATCCGATTTGGAAAAGATTCTTCAGTCCCGCAAAAACCTTCTGACCCATATGATGTATGCAATTTTAATACAAAGGAAGGTCTAACGGTTTTTTGGAAGTATGGTGATCTCGCCAAAGAAAAGGCGAGTATTATTCTTATATGTGTAATGTGTTAGTTAACATGCTCTAGTCGGAAAAGCATAAGATAGGGGAAAAAAGAGAGTTTGGATTAAGATAAGACTTGTTCCCTTTTATGATTTTGTAAATGAATGTGTTCGTAAAAAGTTGAATTATTTTTGTGTTTTAAATTTCATTCCAAGGTTGATGTTTTGGTCAACTCGGCGCATTCATATCTATTTTATGCAACAATTGTTGGAAAAACACTGAATGCAATTGCTGGAGATTCTTATATCACAGAATGTAATAACCAGCCTTACATTTCCACTGGAGATATAGCAACAACGAATGCAGGAAATCTTTCATGTAAATTTGTCATTCATGCTGTTTGTTGTGATTGGAAACCTGGAGGTGATGCTGAAGAAGTAAGGATTTCATTACATAAGAAATATTTATGCACTATAGTTAAAAAGCCAAGTCTCCTTTAATTCCTTTAACTTTAATATTTCTGTTATAAAACAAGGTGTTCCGAAAACTACTATTAAAAATTCTTGAGGAATGCACGCGACGTTCGGTCAAATCTGTGGCCTTGCCAATGATAGGAACCGGTCAACACAATTTTCCCCGAGATCTTGTCATGCTTATGATGAGAGAGGAATTCATACGATTTAGTTCCATGTCTCCACAAAGTTCACTGAAGGAAATCAGGTTAATAAGATATGACCCATTAAGAACACAAAAAGGTACAGTGACCACAAAGGCAATTTTTTTCACGATAACTGATTAACATAGTAAGAAAATATAAACAAAAAAAGTATTCAATCGGGCCGTGACCAGAAAACTAAAGGAGTGGGTGCACAGAGATGAGAATTTAATCTACACCAATGTTTCTTCTTTGCCAGCCCGTACACATCCTTTCATCTTGTCCACGTAAATTATTTAACTCACAAACACAGTTAAAGAATTTAACATGTTCTTATACGCTACATAATAGCCTGACTCAATACTTTTATTTTAAATTGGAATGAATCAACATGATTTTTTTTCTGGCTCATTTACTTCCCTATTCAAGATATAGATGTACTTTCAGTAATTTGCATTGACTCAAACTTAGTACATGCACTATTGTCCAACATCAACTAATGGCATTTAGCGAGAAGAAAAGTTTTTAGTCTTTGCGAAATATCACCTTTTTTGCAACTTTCGAATTTGCACTTTGCTAAAACGCTAAATGTACCCATCCACCAAAAATTCTTTACGATGTCTTGATTAAATCAAATTTCATGATCATGAGGATATCAGAAAGGTCAGTATCGCTAACGAACATAACTCCACCGCAAGCCAAGATGACTACATCTCTGCTTCAAAAGATCAATCCTAGTACTAGTCCCCTTAAGTAAAACAAGCAGGTGACCACCGTCAGGAATCAATTATGTTTTTAACTTAAGACGATAATCATTTTCTTCTGCAAACTAATATTTTTTATAAAAAACTTTCTGTGCTATAAATCATCATTAGTCAGATCCTCTTTTGAACTATATACATAATCAGCATTTGGAACCAATTTTTCCATTTAGATGACTCTCCCACTAATTTAAAGCAAAGCTTTGTTCCTCTTGTATTTGGTTGTGGCAAAGAATCCATTACACTTCATATTATTGGCCGTTCCGATGAAGAAATTTCGTCTGCTTTAGAAAAAGTAGAAAAGTTTATGAAAGACAATCTTATCTCATGGAAATTATATCTCAAAAACGTCTATGATCTTATTCTACGTCATTTGGTAGATAAATTGAAAAAAATCCCATCAGATAGCTTGAGAATGGAGTGTGAGGATGACGACACGATTTCTTTAAATGGTTTACGCAATGAAGTTAGAATGACAAGTGATTTGCTTAAGAAATTCATTGGTCAGTTCACCACAGAGAAGTGGTCGGATGAAGTTTCATCAACTTTAGGTGAGAATTTTTATTATTTGATTTTGTTCAAATAATTTCCAAAAAGAAAGAAGAAAATACACTAGAAATTCTCTATAGCAAAGAAAATCGTATCAATTTCTATGAGGACAAGAACCTTCTACGAGTCTTAAATTTATAAACTTTATTTTTTCTGTCGTAAAATGCATCCTATGTGAGTAATGCACTTCTCACTCGGTTTAGATTACCCAGTTCCATCCAATTGGTCACCTCAACTTTCCAATGAAGTAGTGAAACCGGTCAAGTTAGCACAATCATCCTCTGAATACATCGAGATTAAAGATTATTTTGTGACTCGAGGAGGAAGATTTGATCAAATTTATGAGATACATAGAATACAGAATCCTCGTTTGTATTCTCGGTACCAGGCCTTTAAGAGTTCTATGTGTGGTGATGTGAATGAAATGCGTCTTTTTCACGGCACTAATCCAAACAACGTTCGCTCAATAAATTCGAATAACTTCAGCCGAAGCTTTGCAGGTGTAAATGGTGAGAGTTACATTTTTTCATGTTTTACAACTATCCCTTTTTGAAAGGTCATCACAGAATATGTGCATAAGTACAAACATGGTTAGACGCAAGAAAAACTTTAGGCTAGTTTTCTAAGAAACTTTATGAAATTTTTTGAAATATATGAGGACTCTATAAGACTGCAGAAGTAGATTTTCTTAGGAAAATTTTAATAAACTTTACAGTAAACAGTTGTCCTAAAACTTGTGTTCTGTTTATAGCTGTAAAATATGGAAATGGAGTATATTTTGCCAGAGATGCATCGTATTCTCTCGTGTACTCTCTTCATCAGTGTTCTGGATCACAACCAAAGATGTACATCGCCAAAGTTCTTGTTGGAGAGTACACATTGGGTAAGGAGGGACTAAAGGAGCCACCATCAAAAAATGATCCCGGTAACCCAGGTCTACTTTATGATTCTGTTGTGGATACTCCAAGCAATCCAACAATATTCGTCATTTTCCAAGATAACCAGTCCTATCCTGAGTATCTTATAACATTAAACAAACAATAAAGCAGCAGTTTCAGGAGATTTTCGTCTCTAAATACGAAGTAAAAAAGTTCTGCAATTCTTATTTTAGTAATGATCAATTTTATTCTGCACATTTCTTTCACTAGCTAGAAACATTTTTGTAATTTTTCTTAAGTACAACTCTATGTTATGCACTCTACATAAACATTTGATATTTACTGCTGAATTCAGTAATGTGACTGTAGCTGATTTTATTTTCTTTCTCGGCAACATGTCGTACATATTTATTCTTTTTAATCAAATTTACTGTAAACTATATTCACATGTACAACAATGTAACATTAAATCTTCTGTTGAGATGATGGTGGAGGCTTAGAAAAATTGTTTCTATTCAAGTATCGAATGGAAATTAGGCTTGACACGTGGGAAGGGGTGGAGCTATACTCCTTCTAATTTTCTTTACCACTCGCTATAAATAATATGACGTATGTTGGTAGATGCTGTCTCGACAGTAAATATCTAACCACCAAAAATTTGGACAAAAGTAAACTTGACTTGAATGTCTTTATCTTGTCAATGATTCATTGGTCCTTACTACAAATGATTATTTTAACAAAATGGACACCCTTGTTAACGACAGACAAACGTACGAACAACTCAAACGAGACCATCACTAGTAAGCAAACTTAACAGCAAGATCTTCTCTATGAGAAAATCTAACATTATATCTGAACGTATTTACTATCGACTCAGATGTTCAGTACCACGACCACCCAGACTATACGGACTACCAAAACTTCACAAACCACAAATACCCATGCGACCAATTGTATCATTCTGTGTTTCGCCTACTTACGAACTTTTAAAGTACTTGACTAACATACTGCAACCACTTACAAACAAATCAAAACACAAGCTACAATCCACTGAAACTTTCATTAAAAAACTGTGCACTATACAAATACCGGACAACTATATACTAGTGTCTTTTGATGTGAAATCACTATTCACCGGTATTCCACTTAATCTGGCACTTACTTGTACAAAAACCCTCATTACAAACACCACGGACGTACTGCCATTACCGACAGAAGACATTATGGAGTTACTAGAGCTCTGCCTCACCTCGACTTACTTCCAATACAAAGGAACACACTACAAACAATTACATGGGACAGCAATGGGCTCACCCGTTTCTGTTGTAGTTGCTGAAATTGTAATGCAATCTATAGAGGAACGGGCACTCATGACTTACAAACATGCACTACCTTTTTGGCTTCGCTACGTAGATGACACAATCACAGCACTACATGCAGACGAGATTGATGACTTCCACACTCACATCAACAAACAGAACAGCCACATACAATTTACCAAAGATGTCGAAGAAAACGGAACTCTTTCTTTTCTCGACTGTTTGGTAAAACATGACAATCAAAAACTACGAACAACAGTTTATCGCAAGCCAACACATACTGACCGACTACTAGACCAATCATCTTACAACCCTACATCACACAAAGCCACCACAATCAGAACATTAACAAGACGTGCACAAATCATATGTGATTCACCGGACGCTCTACAAAACGAAAACAACTATCTCAAACGTATTTTTGACAAAAACAACTATAACTCTGACTTCATCAAACGCAACACTTACAAACCCAACGAGCCAAACGAAACGAACAACTCAGTGACAACAGCAACCATACCTTACATCAAAGGTACGTCTGAGACTATCTCGCGTATCTTACGACCATACAACATACGTGTCGCACATAAACCAATCACAACGTTACGACAAGTACTAACGAATATAAAGGACAAAGAACAACCCAACGAAAGACAAGGTGCAGTTTACAAAATAAACTGCTCCGACTGCCACGCCTCCTATATCGGGGAAACTGGCAGGAGCTTAAACATAAGACTTACTGAGCACAAACGAGCTACTAAGAAACAAGACAAAACTAATCACATTGCCGAACATCACCGAATCACAAAGCACAACATTGACTAAGACTCGGCAAAATGCATCACTTACAGTACTGACTATAGACAACGGCTTACATTAGAAAGTTGGTATACCAACTTGGAACAAACCCCCCTGAACAGATCACAGCAATTACCGGCACCTTACAAACGACTTATTAACAATACAAACAAACGATCAACTAAAAACATCACACTTCAAACTAATTCACAATTACAATACACAATTGACACCTACACATTAAACTAAAAACGTCACACCTAAATCACACATCACAACTAAAAATAAAATATTTCACTTCACACTAATCCACAATGACAATACCCATTTCCTGTACACACAATACAATGACTTAAGAACCAGATTAACAAATACGGCTAACCTGACGTTTACTCCTCATTTGACTCCAGGGTTGTTAGTTTGGCCTTTTGGAGGCCAAATAACTTGATTTTGGCCTTTTTTTTCTTTCTTTAGCCTCGAAATTTTTTTTTTGCTATTTGGCTACTTTTTGGCCTCTTTTTACTCCAACAATTTTTTTAAAATTTTTATTGAGCTTTATTTGTAAAAATCTCTTAAATGTACAAAATGCGATGGAAATACAACTAAAAATGATCATAAGGATCAAATTGAGCATTGAATTGTTTTCATCCAATCACAGCTAAGAATAATTCAGCCAATTGTCATGCAATTTAACCAGCTAATCACAAGCAAGCACACAGCTTTGTCTTCGTAGACGTCCGACATCTAGCTGTAAATAGCACGTTCGACCACTACTAATACTAGTTAAGACTGATAAAAACGTTATTTGTTGCAATATTATGGCATCAAAATGGAAAGGAGCGTATGATAGCGGAAGAAAATATAACAAGTCTTGGGAAAGTATATTTAGCTGGCTCACAAAAGCTTCAGACGGAAGTGAAGATGCTTTTTGTAAATTGTGCCGTGCCACAATCAGACCCAAACAAGCAAACTTAACCGAACACGAAAAAACTGATAAACACATCAAACACATTAAAGTATCCACTACTACAAGGCCCATCCAAGTCGTACGTGTCCCAAAAGTTGCAGAAGAAGTAAAGGTAGCCGAGATCGAGCTAGCTGTTACAATGGCTTGCCATTCGGCAATCTTGACCATGGATCATCTCGGAGGGATAATAGCCCGAAATGCTCATGGAAGCAAACTTGAGAACATTAAAATGCATAGAAACAAATGCTCAAAACTATTGACCAAAGTTATAAGTCCAGCGTTGAAGGAACAACTGATTGCTGATGTCCAGGGTAAGAAGTTTTCGTTAATTGTGGATGAATCTACTGATATTTCCACATCGAAGCAGGTCTGCATTATCGTAAGGTATTTCAGCGAAGTTGAAAATAAGATCGTTACAGCGTTTGTTGACCTGGTTCCTGTTGTCCATACTTCAGCAGATGATCTTTTTAATGCAATCAAAGATTGCCTTGCCACAATTAAACTTGTGTTAGTGAATTGTGTTGGCTATGCTAGTGACGGTGCTTCAGTGATGGTTGGGGAACACAATTCGCTGTGGACAAGAATAGCTGCTGTCGCTCCTCATTGCATCAAGATGACGTGTATTTGCCATTCGTTGTCCCTTTGTGTTCAGCATGCATTTGAGAAACTTCCGTCGAGTGTAGGATCTCTTCTGGCAGAAATTCCAAAATGGTTTTCAAAGAGCGCTATTAGAAGAGAAGCATACAAGTCGCTCTACGAAGTGATGAATCCAGATGATGTGCAAGATGCACCGTTTGAGAAGTACTCAACTACGAGGTGGCTTGTGAGAGGAAAAGTTATATTTCGCATTCTCACAAATTGGTTTGAGCTGCAAGCTTACTTCCGAACAGCACAACCAGAGACGACGCAGGCAGCAAGATTCAAGGCTCGTATTCTTCTGGACATGCTCAATGATCCAGTCCTATATCTTTATTTCCATTTCGTTTCTCCTCTGGTCACAGAATTCGACAGGGTGAATGCCTTCTTCCAGGCAACTGATGGTGATCCAGAAGAAATGTTCACGGAACTAAATGTACACCATAAAAGTTTATATGGTAGAGTTTTCGACCACCAAGGAAAATATCTAGCCATTTATGAAGTTGACTTTGGTGGAAAGTTCTTGTCAGAAGCAAAGAAATACATTTCTTCCCAACAAGACAAACGACGTGCTGAAGCTGAAGTTTCTGAAGTGAAAAATAGGTGTCTAGAATTTCTTGTGGAAGCTGTAAATCAAGTAGAGAAACGTTTACCAGCTGTCCGGAATATCTTTAAAGGTTTAAGCGCCCTGCATCCAAGCAAAGTTCTTGATGTAACAACGAGAGCCGATTTTGAGCAACTGCCGCTTCCTAATCTACGAAAGGATCAAGATTATGCAATTGAGGAGCAGTACAGGAAGATCGTCCACCGAAATTGGAAAGAGGAACAAATTTTAACGGCATCATACCTGATACAGCAGTTGCATTTTGGTCAAAGATAGTTCAGTTCCAAACTTCTCTTGGGGTCAAACCATTCAAGGAATTGGCAACTTACGCCTTAAGCTGCCTGACAAATCCTGTAAGCAATGCAGTGGTTGAAAGAACCTTTTCCTTGGTGACATCAGTGAAGACCAAACAACGCAATAGGATGAGCTTAGAACTGCTAAATGCCATTATTCGTATTCGTTCCAGCCTACACTTTGCCGGGAACTGCTGCATTAACTTTAAGGTAACTAAGCGAATGCTTGAGCTGTTTGCCACTAAACACATGTATGAATGTGAGTAGAATAAACATTATAAGAACTATGCATAAATATTTATATAAATCTGTATATATGGAGAGCAGTAAAAATGACAACTATGCACGTCGAGATCTTATAGAAAGACAGATAAAATAGTTTATTCACTTTGTATTTTGACATGGCCTTTTAAGCTTGTAATGCTTATCAAGAAATTTTGGACGTGTAGTTCATTTTTCTCTTCATTTCGTCAACAAGCACCTTATATTTTGCAACAGCGAATAAATTTTCAGTCTTACGTTCTGTATTCACCTCTTCCCATATGTCCTTTGATGTGAACATTAGGCGTTGGCATCGCTAGATTTGCAATGTATGGTATATATTTATGATAAATCCATATAGACTATAAGAAGCAATTAGAAAAACTTATTAAAACCGCATGCCATAAACAGTGCGGGCTCAGAAAACACGTTTGGCCTCTTTTGTTGCCATTTGGCTACTTTTCAAACCATATTTGGCTACAAACGAACGCTGGAGCCTAACAACCCTGTTTGACTCTGAAGATGACTACCGCAAGGGTTGTCCAAACGTCAGTCAACAACAAGTCCTTCTCAGGACTTTATTAACCTGGACGATCATCATTTACAAACA